AGAGTGTGTCGTATGTTGTGGAAGGAGAGCACAGTGTGGGTTCCTCCAGCACACTGAGTCGGACGCAGGAACTTGGCTCCCAGTCTGATGACACAGAAGGAAGACACAGAGCTCTGAAGGTCCAGGGGATGGTGTAGAAGGGCTGAGGAGGAGGCAGGCCCCCACAGGAGACAGCTTGCTTTGTTCTGATTTCGCAGAGGAGACTTTACAGCGTTTGATGTGCTCAGCGGAAGGAGCCTTGGGAGGATTGATGATGGGCGAGAGAGAAGGAGAGTCCTGGCGGGGCGAGAAGCCGGGCCCAGATGGTGCTGCTAGCTGGGGGCAGGCAGAAGAGCAGTAATTAATCTGAGATAGGAGAAGAGGGTCACCATTAATCTTGCTTCCCCAAAAGGCTCACGCCCCTCCCCCCCGTTTCTTTTTGGATATGGAAAATCCATATTCCTAAGATTCCTGACAATTTTTACTTCTAAGGTCTGACTCTTCGCAGAGAGTCTTAGAGTGTTGAGCGCTCTCCTTTGCTTGAGAGTCTTAGTGGGCTGTCAGCTTCCTTCTGCAGAGAATGATCACATGACCCTGGCTGAGCCAATTAGCATCTTTCCAGGGCCTTTGGCCTTTGGGCAGAGCAAGCAGGGTTAAGCAGTTGAGGGTTCATCCCTTCACCCTGTGTCTGAATCACAAAGCATTTACCTACAAGATTCTGTTTTCGAAGCCTAGACTGCCCGGGTCATTTCAATCTTTATGTCCAGCTAGCCACAGCCAGTTTCTGCTGGTTTTGACCCAAGTAAATGAATGATCATGGAAGGACATGTTTTATAATAACAGAATATCCCAGAACTGCAGAGGTGACTTCAGTCTTTCCATTTCACAGAGCAGCCTGGAGACCCTGCATCTCCTCTCAGTTTACAAGAGAACAGGATTCAAGGCTTGAGCTCAGGCTTCCCCCCCCCCCCCCCGACTCTCTACCCTTCTCTCTTGCTTCCCCTCCTCCATCTGTATGCTAGACCCTATTCTGGAGAATAGGTCAGGGGCCTCAACTGTCCTCTCTGGATTCCACTCAACAATGAGAAATCTCTCAGAAGTCGCGGGACTCTAAGTTCTTGCTCAACTCACCAAAACAGAAGACACAAATTTCTGGAAATGACCCGAGGGCCCAGAGATAACACGCAAGACTCACCCAGCCCACCAAGTCGGTATTCTTGTCTCTTCCCCCTTCCATCTGTGTGCATATAGAAGCCCTTCTCCTTTAATTAAATAGCATCACATAGCTGAATCTCCTTTTGGGTAGAGGCTAAAGTAGAGATGGCTAACTGTCAACATCGGAGCAGACCTTCTTGACTCTACAGTTTTGGGCAAGCCATTTAGATAGTCACTCTGACATGGTAGCCTCCTGGCTTATGAGCCAGAATCTCTTCATCAGCTCATCAAGGTAAATAAGATTAAATAAGACAGTATAGATCAGGTGGCTCCCAGAAAGGAGGCTGAGACACAAAAGATCTCAAGGTTTGATGGCCATCAATCCCACACCTGTTGCGTCCTTATAACCTGCGCCAGAGAACCCTTGAAGCCAGCACATGCTCAGCAACTTGGCATAGGGTGAGCAGCTTGGGTTGAGAAGCACTGTGGTTGGTGATGGTGGGGTTTTGGTTAGGATCCTAAGGGCAGAGATTAGACAGGGATGATGCCCCACTTGACCTTGATGTGGAGAATAACTAGAAGTCTGGTAAAGGATGAAGGAGAGTGGAGCTGGGGTCGCAGCCAATGGGGTTAGCTTGCCTGTAGGTTGTTGATTGACTACTAGACAGTAGGGGAGTCTTCAGTGTTGATGTGATGGAAGAAGCTGGGAGAGGAATTCTTGTCCGAAGCTTCCCATGCACTGATTTCGTCACGAGTTGCATTTCGTCCCTTGACTTTATGATCTGGAGATTTCTCCTTCCGCTAAGAAGACCATGGAATTCCAGTGGATGATAGGCGTGCCAAACTGCTAGACCGGGTGAGTCCCCTGAAAAATGGGACCCCTGGTCACATGATAACACAGGTCCCAGAGTGGGCATCTGCATGGTTAGGAACGCCCTTTCTCAGAATACCCTTTAGAAAGGCCTCCACTGCCCTTCCCAGTTCCTCTCCCAAGTGTGCTGTGACCAGCGCGGAGCCTTTTGACCCCTGCCCATAATGCCCTGCTACCCCAAGCTGTCTGGAATGAAGCCTGGAAAGGAAGGGGCCAGCAGCCTCCTCCCACCCCCAGGGAACCTTGTCCTTGTGTTTAAAGCCCGTGTGCCCACTGTGGCCGCTCCTGGTCTCCTATGTCCCAGCAGGGGATGATTAATGGCATAGCTGCATCACTGTGTTGTATTTAAGTCTGTCCCCAAGCAGATAGATTGTCTCTGCAGATAAAGTGCTCCTGGGCCCTCCCTGGGCTGTGGCTCCTGGCCCACTCCTTCCTCTGGGTTGGCAGCCTGCTACCGGGACCTCTGAAAGGTAAATGAATTGATAAGGCGGCGGGGGCAGGGAACAGGCTGTATCTTCAATGGCTCTTGTAAACAGTGTAAAGTCACCTTGATGTGCCACGACTAATGACGCTGGAGCTGGGTGGCACAGAGCCAGTATAGGGCCCCCACATCCCTAAGGCAAAAGGAGCCACCGCGGGAGGGGGTGCATGTCTCTCTGCCTTCCTCTCCCTACAGTGACACACTCTCTGTCTCCCAGAGCTCCGCTTCACTGTCTATACTGTCAAGTGACATTGTGTGTCCAACCTGTCCCCTAAATGACAATGAAATCCTCACTTCTGGTGCTTTTGGCTATGACCTTTTTAGGAAATGAAGTCTTTGAGAAATCACATTAAGATGAAGTCCTATGACCAGAAAGGAGCAATTTAGACACAGTGACAGAGAGGCAAACACAGCTGCCTTTGCAAGTGAAGGGCACCGGAGATGGCCAACAAGCCTCTAAAATTCAGGGAGGTCACAGAACAGGTACCTCGCAGCCTCAGAAGGAGGTAACCCTGCATTGATCTTGGAATTCTAGAACATATAAGTAAATTCCTACTGTTCTAAGCCACATAGTTCAGGACACTTTATTATCCAGCCTTTGAAAATCAATTCAGAGCAGTAATTCTCCCTACAGGCATATGAGGGACAAGCAACAAGGGGTGTCCTGAGACACAGCCATGATAGACCAGGAGCTCAGTTATTGAATATTAAGTCTGAGAGGCTCACCCCAGACATAGTTAAGAACTGGGGTGGCAGGAGACAGCCAGCCAGAGAAATCACCCAAAACACACGGCTGCAACAGGGCCATGGCCACATGGCCTGGACTTGGGAGTTTAGGAGGATGCCCACACGCTGCACAATTCTTTGCCTAGGAAACTCTCATACTGGGGAATCCACAGAAACAGAGAGAAGACCATCTTACCAGAGGCTGAGTTCTCAAAATATATTTGTTAAAGAGAAATAGATTTCTTTTACTTAGGCATACAAATGGCAGTATTTCACTGGGATGACCCTTGCAGACTAATGTGGGAGGGGGGATGGGGATGGAGGCAGCTGTCTAATACAGAGGCTTCTTTTGGGGGTTCTGTGATTGTTCTAGAAATAGATATGTAGTGGTGCTTATCGTGCGATGTGTGGACGAACTTACCATGCTCAAGTGTACGCTTCAAGATGGTGCTTTTATGTGAAAGTGTATTGCACACTAAAAGCAAACCCCTCAAGGGAGGGTGCTCTCAATGAGACCTCAGGAGCCTCTTCTGAAGGAGAAGAAGCCTTCCCTCTCCCGGGGCACGGCAGGCGACTGGATTGCGGTTGCTATCTGTGTTTTGTCTTCGTATGTGTGGGGGTCAGAGGGTGCCTGTGCACAGAGGTCATGCAAAGGTAGAGGGAGCCTTGCGTGCGTTCTCAGGCATCCTTACCTTTTGTGGGAGGCAGGATCTCTCGCCGACCTGGGACATGGCCGCATGAGACACAATGACTGAGCTGCTTCCAAGGGTCCACTTGTCCCTGTCCCTTGTCTGTCACTGGGATTGTAAGTGTGTCACCACATCTGGCTTTTCACGTGGGTTTTGGGGTTCTAAACTCAGGTCTTCGTGTCTGCAAAGCCAGTCCTGTGTCAACCGAGCCACATTCCCAGCCACCTGAATTGCCTGAATTTAAAATATATATACTTATGTATTGGGGGGGGGGCTACAGCATGCATGTGGAGGTCAGAGAACAACTCTGTGGGAGTAGATTCTCTTCTTCAACCATGTGGGTCTGGGGATCGAATTCAGTTCATCAGACTTGGAGACAGGCACACCTATCTGCTAAGCCATCTCTTTGACACCAGCATCACCTGTTTTAAAGCAATGCTGTGACTTTTGGATGGGAAGTTCAAGGAGGTGGAGGATCCTCAACTCTTCAGGGATCCTAGGACACTCAGAGTGGAGTACTTCTGGATAAAACGATGGGATGTTGGAGAGGGGTGGAGGTGTACTGAGCCTGGCTGTTGCGGTGGCAGGAGAAGTTGCAGAGAATGATTCAGGGTCTTTGGGGCCTTTTTGCTTTTCTTTTTCCCTGCCTTTGGGTAGATAGACTAAAATCCTAAAGTCTTCAGTCTTCTCTTCCTGACCTCTGACCTCTGACCTCTGGTCAGGGGCTATGTGGGCCAGAGCACTTGCCATCAGCCTGTCACACCAATGCTACTTCTAGCTTTTGGAAAGAACTGAAGAAAGGAGGAGGGAGGCCATGAGGATGGGCAGGGGCCTGATCCAGAAAGAATACAGGGATGCACTGGGTGATGTGGACACCCTGGGTATTTATACAGGACACTCTGTGCTCCAGACACTGTCCAACACATCTTCTTGGACTGAGTCATTTTATTCTCATGATAGTTTTGTGAGTTAGACATTTGGGGTTTCCAGTTGCAAATAAGGAAAGCAAAGGCTCAGAGAAATAAGGGGACATGACTTGAGTTTCCTGGTAATAGATGAGAGGAAAGAATTCAGCACAATCAGTCAGTTGATGGATTAGTGTTTGGGAGTAGGTGCCCTGCAGGTGGCAGGGGGACAAGATTCATGATGGGACAGTGAGTCTCTTGAGAGCAGAGTCTAGTGGTCTTCCATGATGATGGCCAGCATTCAAAAGGATGATGTATGTTATCACTGGGGGTCCCCCGTCTCCCATATACACATGGGGCAGCTCAGATGGGTGAATCCAAGGCTGGGCTCACTTAGAAGAAGAGTTGAGGCTGAGGCTGGACCAGTTCAGACATCAGCCTGGGGATAACAGTCAAAACCAGGATTTCATGGGGCTCGCTAAGCAAATGCTTCCTGGAGGCACACGTTCAATTCCTGTCTTGTGCATTTGGGTCAGAGCAGGCAGTACACAGGGGTCTGGGGGAGCCTGGGAGGACTGTGGCCACGAGAGAAACACACACCCCATACACACATGCAAACACACGCATATGTACGCGCACGCGCGTGCTCACACACACACGCGCACACACACACACACACCCCACACACATGCAAATACACACATATGTACATGCGTGTGTGCGCGCGCACACACGCACCACACTGCTTTCTGCTGGGAAGCAGCGAGGGGGTCAGTGAGAAGCCAGACAGCTGCTGGTGACTGTATAGAGAAAGACCATGCTAAAAGGAAGGCCTCAGTCTGCATCAGAAGAGGGGTTTTCCCCAGGAAGGCGCCTGGTGGGGAATGTGTGCCAAGTGCTTCTGAATCCGGCCATCAGCAGGGACCCCTCCCAAGGCCTACCCTGCAGAGCTCTCTGCCTTCCCAGCAGAAACACTTGCAAGCTACTCTGCAGATGGCCAGGCTAGCTCTAGAAGGATGCAAACTGGTGGCTGCTTAGCCATCCTGGCCTGGCACCCGCAGAACCATGCACAAATGAAGGACACATCAGACGGATTCTCCCAAAGTCCCCATCCAGATTCTCTACTTTCCCAGGGGCATTCTCATGAAACATATACTTCTGACATCCCGGAAGAATGACTCCCAGTGTCTTGGGTACCATTCATTCGCTCATACACTCGTTCATCCATTTCTTTAATCAGCCAGAAAGTCCACAGTCAGGAAGTCTTGCTATGTATCAATTGCCATGAAAACCCTGGCCACAAGGTGAATAAGACAAGCACTGTCTTTACCTTCATGAAGCTTTTCCTCCACTGGCAGGCTGCAGCAAGGATATTTGAGGTCCTACAAGTCAAACAGGCCTTTGACTTTAGCAGGTTGGGTGCCACATATCCTGTGATTCCTACTAGCCTAGGGAGGGAAAAACTGGATCTGAGAGAGAGAGAGAGAGAGAGAGAGAGAGAGAGAGAGAGAGGGGTGTTAACTTTTTCCTTTAAAAAATCATGATCAGGAAGCTTTAAGGGTTTTATTACATCCCTTCCATACCAACAAGGGCTGACTCCATAACCCCCTCAAAGGGGACCTTGTAAGGATGGCCCCTATGCCAACTGAGCATACGCAAGTTACTTCAAAAGCTGAAGCTCATAGCCTGGCATGATTAAGCCATATTGCTGTCCTTCCCCCATGATGCTACTATTTTCTGGAAACTTCCTCCCCTTGTTTAGCTTCTGAATATGGACTGACCTGTCCCAAGGAGGCCGTGTCAATCATCTAGAAACTGGAGCAAGGGATGCTCTTTTTATAAAGACCCTTTAGTACCAAAAGAGTGAGGCTCATTTTCTAGAAGAAACCTTTGCAGAACTTGGCCTCCTAGGAAATCTTTCTGGGAGAAACAGGTACCAGGTGGCCCCCACTATGGGCCTTTCTTTCATGGAGAATGCCACCTGCCTTTGCAAGAGTTCTGCCTCGGGGACACAGCTGGCTCCAGCTTCTTCCTGGGTCCCTTCCCCTCTCTACCCTCCAGGGGCCTTCTGCTTGGCCCCCGGACAGTCCCTCTGGCCCTCAAGCTAGGGGAACCGCACACCCTCCCTGCCTCCTGATCTGGCAGGGGGAATGGAAACTTTCGTGGAAAGCACTTGAGCTGACGAATGCTCCCAAGTCAGACTGTTGACTACTCAGGGCCCTGACGACCAGGGCTCAGGATGGGGGGAGGGGCCGGGGGAGCTCTCCTTCACAGGGTCAGGACCTCCTTCAGGCTCCTCCCTCTCTTTGCACAGACCCGTACTCACCAGCTCAGTGTGACCCGAGTGAGTCAGTGAGCCGCTCCACTCAAGAAGCCATTGTCTTCCACACTTCCAGAGTACTCAACAGCCCTGGTTCTCCCCCTTTGCCCATACGCGTCCCGTCCCCCTTTCCTGAGCCCCATAGGTGACTAGGAAGCTTGCATGGGGCTCCCTGGAGTTGCAAGTCCAGAGGTTTTTGCTGTTTTGCTTGAGACCTGGTTATGGTTGTGGGATTTTTTTTCCTGTCAGCTGCCTGTTATATCAATCACGGAGTCGGAATCTATTTATAGGTTTGGGAGTACTGTGTCCTTAGTCACAAAGAGACACAGACAGGGGACTGTCAGCTGGTGTCGGAGGAGCCAAGCAAGGAGTCATCAGCCACTGGAACACCTGAGGGTAACCAACCGGTCCTATTCCTCAGCAGCCCCGTCCTCCAGCCCGCCCCACCATGTAAGTAAGCTAACTTCTCTCACCGCTCCCCAGACTGCCCTGTGCCTCCCGTCTTCCCTACACACCCTCCTCCTCTCCCGTGCATTTGCTCTCTTATTTTAATGGATAAAAATATCTCCCCACGCCTGCTCTTTGATCCTGATTTCCACACGCTGAAGCATCCATCCATCCCCGCGTGGCCAAGAGGTAAATGTTGCCTCTCTCTGACCATCATGAGAAGGTCAGGGGGTCTCCATGTGGCTGGGTGCGATGGTTACACGAACTCATTTGGAATCCATGGGTGCCCTTTGGTTTTTTTTATTTTATTTGTTTTCGTGGAGAGAAAGTAAAGTAAATCAAAAGGGCAAAGCCAAGTTCACACACGGCTCAGTGGGGTGGTTATGTCTCCCAGCGTGAAAACTTTCATTTGTTGGTAGCTTCAGCATTTGGTGAGCGAGAGAGGTGACAAAGGCTGGCTTCTCGGGGGTTTTCAGGGTGATGATGGAGAGGTGCTGACAGTCTCGGGGGGCACCCTGGGAGCTTTCAGGATCAGCTAGAGTCATGACAGCTCCAATAACTATCTTATTTCCAGCACCTCCAAGGAAAGGGGACACCCCCCTCCCCGCCCCCTCCATGGAATGATTCTACTTGACAAAGTGGAGATAAAAGCAGCCGACCCTTTCCTTGCCAGTTTGGATTGACTCCATTGCTGGGTGCATTTTCTCAACTCTGGTGGGAGTTAAGAAACTTGGGTTAGGAAGAAGTATGGAAAAGGAGTAACCCAGATGTGGGGGGCTTTGCACCCTTCATTGGGGAGGAAAAGTCACCTGTTTTGTCAAAACTGGGCTCAGTGCACACAAGGTGGGTCAACCCTGCTCTTCAGGTGGCTCTGGAGCGTGCACGCGCACACACACACACACACACACACACACACACACACACACTCACCCCCCACCCCCGCCCCATTGCTGTCCTGAGTCTTATCTGCCTACCATGAGTTTCACGTGGAACTTTGCAACTTTAGTTTCTAGATAATGGGTCATATTAACCAGAATTCCTGCATTTGAGGAGATTGGTTTCATAGCATTTCTGGAAGAAAAGGCCTTAAAGTTAAAAAAGAAGAAGAAGAAAAAAAACCCACCAACAACAAAAAGCTATGTGTTGGTATTTAATGTACACTATGTAGAAGTTTTTAAATAGACTCCATCCTCTCCCCAATGAGTTTCTATTTACTTATGCTTCGGTTACCAGATGCTATATTGCTAAGGACTACTTCTAGATTTGTTTAAGGGAATGGTATCGGAGCAAAGAAACAATCCTCACTTCCATTTAAAAGCACTAAACAAAGCAAGTCGGCCTGAATTGGTTTTGATGACGTGCAGAATAGGTTTGTCAGCAAAACAGCTGATGAAATTTAAATAATGTGTGGGGGCACACATATGCTTCCGGGGCAATTGGAGCTCATTTCGTTTTAGCTTGCCTTTCTCTTGGGTCTTTATTTCTACCTGAATTTTATGGTGGGTTATTAATATCTTTAATTCGCTACTGTTGGGGGGAGGAATGGGACGGGAAGTCAAAGAAAGGAGAAGGCGAGTTTCACATGTTCACCAGTGGAAAAACGCAGAATAAAAGGAGGTGGCCTGCTGTGGTGGTGTGCGCTTTTAATCCCAGCACTTGGGAGGCAGAGGCAGGTGGATCTCTGTAGGTTTGAGGCCAGCCTGGTCTACAGAGTGTTTTCTAGGAAAGCCAAGGCTGCTTAATGAGACTCTGTACCAGAAAGTGAGAAGAAGAAAAAAATAAAGAGAGGAAAAAAGAGTACAGAGGGTGGATGTTATTGTTTAGGATCTAGTATCAAAACAGGTCCAAGAATTCAAGAAAGGGAAAGCTGGGTACGTTGTCCTGTGTCAAGTTCTCATTGTTTCCTATTCCAAGGTCTCTTTTGACAAGCCAATCCTGCTAAGCCTTCCCTGCAATGTGCTGGGGTGGGATTTTGTGGGCTGTTGTTAATTAAGGCTCGTGCGAATCAAGTGATTGAGACATTGTGCACAGAGATCGGAGAGGTCCACTGCTTGCGGAGCCGAGCTTCCCGGACTTTCTGAGCTCGGGGGCTTCTGAAAGGAAGTCTGTCAGTTTTTTAACCTTCCAACACAGGGCCAGTCCTTTCCTCCCCACCAACTCCCTCCCCCATGTGCACCCCGAGGCCTGTCTGGTGGGGACTCCTGACTAAAGGTAACGGGGAGAGTCTGTGTTCTTGTTAGCTGGGAGAGAGCGTTTGTGGAAACACTTAAAACCATCTGCCCTCTCCCTTGACCTGCAGATATGTTCAGATGGGCTGGGGGCTTGCTGGGCAGCTTGATGGAGGCCTTGTCTTTGCCGCCTCTGGGCTTCCCTGTGGGGATGCAGTTGGGGGAAACTCCAGGGCATTTGCGTAAACCCCTGATTACTTGCTTTCTGCTTCAATAACCATTAATTGTATGTGGTCCGAGCTCCCACCAGACTCATTGTTTCCCCCTAACTGATTTCTTAAATGCAATTGGTCACAGAGCTGTCTGTGACTTCATGTAGGCAGGACCTAACACAATCCTTGGCATCGTTGCCCCTCTCTGTGTATGTCAACAAGCTGTTGCTCGTGTGCGCGCACTGTGGTTTCATGTGCCTTCCTTCCCTAGAGCACACAGGAATCCATTCTGACCTCTTCCCAAACTGGGGACAATGGGGCCAATGAGCAGGTGCTTTGGAATGCTGCAGGCTCAGGTGCAGGACCGTTAATCTCCAGGAAGAAGGGATGGCAAATGCCAGGAAGTACTCTCCTGATTCAAACAATTTAGGTAGCTGAGGTCTCTCCAAACCCCATGAATAAAAAGTGGCAGCTGGCAGGGACTTTAAACCAAAGACCCTGGGACAGCTCTTTCTCTCCATCGCTGCGGTTCCACAGAATCTCTGGCCATCTCTTTCTTATCTCGATTTTTTACGTTTCATTATCTATCTCCTTTTTTTTTTTTTGCCTACCTCCTCCCCCCCCCCCCCAACCCCTTGCCTTTCCTGAAAACACATTTCTATCTGGCACAGAAAATAAACTCAGATTGTGGGTAGTTATGTTAATCTAATTCAATCCTCCGAGGGTTAAGAGTGAAATTCTAATAGTGGAGCTGTTGAGGGCTTTTTTGTTAATGGCTTGGGGATTACATTGAGTTAAAGGCTCATTTCCTAATCAAACAGAGAGGGAGAGAGTGATTCCGAATATTTATGAGTCTCCCAGTGAGAGTTTAAACTTTCAACTCCAAAAGCTGGGTTTCTGCGGGAGGAAAGAGTTAAAACCCCTCAGGGCTGCTGGGGAAAAAAAAATTAGACCAGTTAAGTCATCAGTGTTTCCAGGCAGCTGTAGAACTTCTGGGCGCCTCAAAGTGGAAGGTGGGGTGGAGCTGTGGAGAGGGGGAGCTGGGTTCACATAGTGGAAATGGAGATTGGGGCCGGAGCCAGCTAAAGGGTTCCGACCTGCCGAACCCCACAGCAGGCTGGGCTGCTCCATCCTTCCGAGGCTTGGAGGAGTTGAGAGATTATGGCTCCTCAAATCAATCTCTTTCTCTAGTCTGGAAGTGAGAATAAGAGACAGGGGAATGGCTCAATTTGCCAGCATTTGCTGGAGAGTCCCTCGTGTTGCCTAGGCAGCACAGAGAACCAGCATCTGTCCCTGTCCCTGGAACAGGAACTTCCGAATCAGCCAGTGCCTGGGACCTACAATTGGGTCCCTTTGCTTGATTCTGCCATTCTGCTCCCTTTCCCCAGGCCCGCCAGTCTCTCTGGCTCGCCAGTGCTAGGTGAAGGCAGGTAGTGATCTCCCTGATCTCCAGCCTGAGAAAGCCAGGGGCAACTTGGCCAAGGTTGAGGCATGTCAAGGCCAAGCTGAGGTGAGGCGTCCAAGCCCAGGCAAAACTCCTTCGCCTCTCTCTGCTGTTCTCTGGAGTTCAGTCAAGGGAGAAGGCAGAGCCATGCATGTGACTGCTGAACAAACCCTGGGTCCCGGCTCTGACTGAGGGTTCCTTCTCAAGTTCCTGATATGGGCATTCTGTGATAGCGTCTTTTCCTGTCACCAACCAGGTGGACATTTTCTGTTTCTTTAACTTGGATTCCTGCCACCCCTCTTTTCTGAAGTCAGCTGACTTGCTTCCTCTGGGATCTTTGAGCGACTGTCTCCGGGGAACTGGGCACAGCTTTCTCACGAGTGGTGGCCCATGCGTCTTGTTCAGGTGGTCCTTGTGTACCCTCAACGCCTTTCCTGTGAAGCCCTCCTCTTCTTGGGGCTTCCACTCTCCATGACCTCCCTCTCTGCTGCATCCACTTGCAGTGGGGTGTGTCACGATGACCACATTCCTAGACCTGGGCCATCTTCGCTTTGCTCCCGCGTTAGCCTAGTCCATTGCTGAGCAGGCATGTCCCACATGCCTCTGCTAACAGTTTGGAGGTACAGCTAACAGCACATGCGCTCAGACAGTTAGGACTCCAACACTCCCAACCCCCTTTCCCAGTGGACCACAGAGACCCACAGGGTCCCCTCTGCTCAGGATAGAATCTGTCTCCCGGGGAAGACAAACTGCTCAAGCCCTGTCCAAACGATGTATATACATCTTTCCTGAGCTCAGTCCAGAGCACCGATTCTGCACACCCTGGGATGTAGTAG